AAATGAGATTAAAATGTTTGAAAACTTATAAATTACGGTAATTTGTTTTCAATAAGAATATGACAATTATTTATATTATAGTTATGGTTATAAATTTCATTACGTTTTTGTATCAACGGTTGAATCAAACCAATTGTGGAGACAATTAAGTCCATTCCGGTGTGTGATATGTGTTTGGGAGGTCCACCCATCATAACGGCCACTCCTATCCCGCAATAAGTGCCCAAATGTTGAGCCACTCGTCCCACCTGTTCGGCCAATTCACGGGACGGCACGACAACCAGTCCTTTGGGTAAGTGTCCACTCGTTTGCTCCAACTTCTGCTCTTTAAACTCGCGGATCAGTTGAATAATTGGCGCCAAATATGCGATTGTTTTGCCGCTTCCGGTCTCTGCGGAACAGATGACGTTCTTATAGTCCAATATCGACGGAATGGTAGCCTTTTGTATAGCCGTCGGTTCCGTTATATCCATGGATTGGATGGCATCGCAAACAGTGTTCTTCAGACCAATTGAATCAAAAGTTGGCGATAAGTCTTGAGGCGATTGTCTCACAATTTTGGATGGGTTTTGGTCGTAGGCGTGGAATCGCATCCGTTGTCCTAAAAGAGTAGACATCACTTCAGACATGACATCCAAGTCTTAGACCGCAATAACATCTCATGTGATACTTACCAAAAGTTTTGGAGCCATTCATCCACTCACTGCTAACTAACGGTATTTTGTCATAAGATTTATACTTTTGGCCCAAAAAGTGATTCAATTTCTTATTATTAGTACTAATAATACAAATGTTTGGATCATATCTGCCATCACTTGAGACATCACTTCCTGAAGACCTGTTATCGGCATTCAGTTGATTGTCTTTTTGTATGATTTGGTTGACTCTCTTGTCCTCATTATATCGGACTCTATTGAGTGATGTCTTGAGATATTTGGGAACTTTGATGACTGGCAACGGGTCTCTAATTGCACACAATTTGCGTACATTTGTCACAAATAGCACTAAATCTTGTTTTCTATTGCTTTTCGATAACATTTCGTTTCATTTCTATTGTGTTTACAATTAAACACATTATTATGAAATGCATGTGTTTTTCGGTGCAAACACTACTGACTCCTAGTGTACAGAATATTCTCCACATAACACAACAGGTATTAGGAATTTAATTAGAGAATCGCTATATCAATGAGTTTACGATATATTCCCACTAATATCTAATTATAATAACTATTTAACAGCAAATTGTAAATACAATATATTGAAAATGTTAGACATATTACACATTTTTAATAGTCTTGACAGCAAACTAAGCTCTAAATTCTTTAAATATTCTATAGTACTGTTTATCACTTACTGTTACTGTTCAGTGTAGTACTTTGTAATTTAGAGTACAAAGTATATCCAATATATCAATTTCCTATTTCTCAAACCAGTATTTAGTTTATAATATAATTTAGTATAAGAATAGCTGTGCCGATAAAGGGGTAGGGGTGGCATCTAATCCTAATTATTTGTCTCGGTAATTACTTTTTGAAATTGTAGCCAAATAAGTCTTTCAATCCTTATAACTTAGGATGAGAGTGAGAGAGAGGGAGAGAGAGAGAGAGAGAGATTGGTTTAACCATTTCTAATATGATATTTGTTGTATAAAAACACAGTCTATTCAGTTGTAAACATATTTTCCGAGTGATTAACTCCTTTTTATACTTAAAACCATTTAAACCCTCTAAGTATTGAGAGCATAAATATCTCCTATTAAGCACACATCTGTGTATGTGTGTGGCGGCTACCGGTGCCCAACCGCAGTGGGTTTATGTCCAAACAGATTAGTCCAACTGTTCTTCAATGCAATCGTTTTCCTCTTTTTCTCTGTATTTGTCTGAATACCACAAAACGAGTCAATAAAAGACAGTCAATGAGACTTACAGTCAAAAACTTTTCATGTTTTGGTTTTCGGTTAGTTTTCAATTGAATATACTGTATAAATAATATCCTATAAAATTTTAATTGTTAAAAATAATTATTATTATACATTAAATACAGAATTTTGTAGCTTTTTGAATTGAAACATAAATTTTAATTTATTTTTAAAATACTTGTCAAAATCCTCTAAATTATTACTTTGATAATCTTTATACTTACGAGTTAGTCGTACTTAAAATCAGTTATCATAAGTATAGTAAACTACAAGTATTAGTGAATTTAAAGTGTATAAATTATAATTTATAAGTATTAAATAGTATAATTTTTACTGAAATTAATATAAAATCGATAACTAAAATAGAAATATACATGAATTTCCGAATACTTAACTAATGGAAGAGTATGACATTGTGTGGCGAGCACTGACAGGTCGACTCACAAACACATACATTGAAATGAAGGGTCGGTTAGCTCTTGAATTGGTCTGAAGACACAAATCTGCTATTGAATACTGGGAGGTCTTATTCATATGTGACAATGCATTTGACCAAAAGTTGTGTATTTGCCGTATAAAAGCTCTCAAAAATATGCCATAGTATAATATGGGGCCGGTATGGTATGACATGTGCGGCCTCTCCATTTCAAAGCCGCATTATGTCCACATATATTGTCGCTTATATTTTATCTACTCTTCGGTAGATTTTATTTGAAAGAAAGTATATTATTCTCAGTTGTTGTCCACAATATTCTGCATATTATATATATATTTTTTAGCCGCAATATTATATTCTTTATAATATTAATAATGCAATACTTAGTAGTTTATTATCTCTTCTAATCTTTTATTCTTTTGTTAGATTATTAAATATTTTCTAATATAAAAGCATATTTTCTCCCTATTCATATTTAGACATTTTCTTAATTCACCGTACTTTCAATGTTTTCAATGTAAAATGTTTTTGGCATATTTTCTATAATTGTTACTTTCAGTATTATTCCTATTTTTAAATTAAATAAATCCAAAATATCAAGATTTTTAATTATATATTACAGTTACTGATCACATTAGGATGTGTATTAATTATCTGGATATAACTAACATTTATAGAGAATATTGATAAGTAATGTATTGGTACTGTATTAAGAATAAATACAAAAATATTAATATACAAACAAATTTGTATAGATAAATTCAATTGTTTGGATACAATAATAAACGAATTAATGTATTACAGTATATTGACAACTATTTAGAAGAACTGATTCCCAAACAAAATTGAATGACTAATAGAAACCATAAGAATTGCGATCACAAACTTTGGCTCAAACTTTTCCATTTGTGCCGTAATTATAAACACAATACTGTACCAAACAGTGAGACTTTAATATGCAATTACTTTGCTTATGTATTATAGCCAACTTAACTCGACTTTTTTGTGCTCACAATTGTTATAATTCAGAGTAAAAGAGCTTTTAGCGACAAAAACTGCTTTATTTTAAGGTTTCACATGTTTTTATGACTAATACCCAAAATCGGTAGAAGTCTTACTAATACCAGCCTCTCATCTCTATTGAGTGCCATATTATTAGCTTTACATTAAAAGGATTTTTATTATTAGTTCATTGTGTGATTGCAAAGGAAATTTTCAATAATTCAGTTTGAATTTAGTTGAATCACTATTAGTTCATATTCTTTTAATCATTACATAACTATATTTAAAGTTTTTTATTCAGTATTAAAATTCTAATTGTGTTTAATTAATTCTCATCAATCAAGTCCTAAATTTATTTATAAAGATATGTGGAAAACCAGAATAATATTTGCTATATACGTATAGTAGTATATATTATATACTGTAATACGATATAAAGAAGTATATTCTTTACAATATGATGAGTATATCCTTACTTGTGAATACAACAATCTATGAAAGTAATAATTTTGGTCTTTTTACTATAAATACAATACAGAATATGACCCCTTAAAACTCCATACATTTTATTTTATAATACTTTGTGTATGTTTCGGTATATTTCTGTCCATTCATTGCCTCTTTTGCTCACTTTTTGGCTGTATTTTCTCAGTTCATACACAAAAAACTCCAATTCTCTTACAGTTTGTAAATCTAATCAATTGAACCACTTTTATAATGTAAATGTGCAGATGTCCATTCATTGCCTCTTTTGCTCACTTTTTGGCTGTATTTTCTCAGTTCATACACAAAAAACTCCAATTCTCTTACAGTTTGTAAATCTAATCAATTGAACCACTTTTATAATGTAAATGTGCAGATGTTTTGTCCTGTTTTCCCAATACGTTTACGAATCAAGAGTCTCTCCGTTCTCTCTCTCTCTCTCTCTCTCTCTCTCGGGTATTGTCAATTGTCAGCCACTTTATTATACCATTTCCACCGAGCCTTTGGTGCATATAATCTTTATATAATTATAATTTGAGTCGGTTATAATGGCGGCTTGGGTTCCTAAACGAATAATATCGTTACCAAAATGTCAAAATTCCAAAATCCTTAATCGTAATCATAATCATAATCACGGGCTTATCACGATATCTCTTATCTATGGATTTCATTGTATGATAGCGTGGCCTAAAGGCACCGATTTGTGCTGTAGTTAGTTATAGTGCATGAGAGAGAGAGCTTCAGCCTATATAGCCTATGTAATGTAGTTTGGGAATCGGATTCAATTGAAAATCTACAGTCAATTCTGTACAATATTTAATAAGTTTTCTCACTTTTCAATTATTGATTATCAGATAAACAAATAGTCTTTCATTTAATTTCAAATTTAATCCAAATAATCGTTCAAAAAATAAACTAACATTTGAATATACTGTACAGTGTTTCGATTAAATATTAATTTAAATTATTGTATATAGATTTTGAATAAAACTTAGAAGTATAATTAAATATTGGTAAAATGTAAAAATAATGTTAAAAATGTCCTAAAATGTCCTAAAATGGATAAGTTTTTAGTATTAAAGTTTGTATTGATGTGAATAAAGAGAGCAAACGCCTGAATGGTTTGACCGCAAAATGGTTAGCAATATCTGAAAGTCTGCTTTTCTGGTCTCTCTGTGCGGTTGAGACGATTAGCCGAAGCGGATAAAGCACTCGCGGATTATCTGTCACCGCATTCACAGCCATAGGATTTTCATCCCAAAGAAATCTGTTTAACTTAAAAACTGATATTACGATACATACAGATCAGCACTGCCTCTACTACTCGTATGTTTGGTTTGAACCAAACTTTGATATGAGAATCGGTTTAAGAGATCAAACGATATATAAGTTTTTTATGCTTTATATTTTTTGTGGAATAAAATTTTAAAAATGATTGAATCTATATTTACTATTACATTAGATTTGTCACAGAATATTACAATCCTGAAATAGAAATTCTGTAATTTATGGCTTATTTGTTGATATATAAAATATGAAACTTTTAGAACTTAATGTAAATTCTGTGTATAATTTATTTGGTAATAAAATCTAATGATTTTTTATTTAAATAATTTTATTACATATATAATTATTTACATTCTAATGAACAAAATTACTACATTA